TTATCAACAGATGCTGCCATTCTTTGCTTAAGAAATTTATAAATAGGAGAGGAGTTCCTGTGCGTATAGGAGCGACACAGAGGTACCAATTTTATTGAAGCCAGTAAAGAAAAATTTGTTTTTGATTCTGGTAAAATTGGCGATGAATGTACACGGCGTGGTATTGAGTGGGTATTCAATAATCCAGCGGACCCTCAGCTGTGGAGCATGGGAGAGGATGATGCGTGCGGTAAAAAATGTGTTGGCTTCACTTTGAAAGAAAAGTCACCCCAAGTGGAAACGCTAAATAGTTTACTCATTGAAGCAGAAATTTGGTAATTCTCGTCCTTTAACTCATCTACCTATTGAGAGTGAAGACAGCGAACCTCTTACCCCAAACCATTTCTTGGTTGGTGGGCCTAATTTTATTCAAACACCTACAGTAAATGAAACATCTGTTTACGGAAGCAGTGGCACATCTTGCAGCAAATTAAGCAAACGTTTTGGAAAAGGTGGGTACAAGAATATCTTCCGGATTTAGTACGACGGACAAAGTGGTTTTATCCTGTACCACCAATAAAGTTGGAGATGTTGTCGTTATATGTGATAGCAATGTGGCGCGTGGTGAGTGGAAGCGAGGAGTGGTGGTGGAAGTATGTACAGCGGCTGATGGTCAAGTTCGTTCGGCAGTGGTAAAAACATCGGCAGGCAATTTCGTCGTCCGGCATCAAAGTTAGCAGTCCTGGATGTTTGTGGTGAATCTCCAGATCGATTCACGGGCGGCGGGATGTTGCGAACTTAGAAGACCTTTCAGTTAATTTAAAAGTTTAAATTTATTAACGTTCGTTTTTTGATTTATAATTTTGATGTTTTGTTACGTACAATTTGTTTTGTATCATTCAGTTTTAATTGAGATCAATTTTTATTCATAATGTGTAAACGTTCCATAATTTGTTTATTATCGTCTTTTAAGACGTGTTCAGTAATCCTTTCATTATAATTTATCGTTTTGTATTTTCTCACAATGACTTCAGCAAGTCATTCCAGGAGAAACCGTCGAGAGCGAAAGAATTAAGTAAGAACAACCTTTGTACCTTTGTTCCTTTTTTGATTATGTAATCATTTCGATTTACTTTTAATTTTAATTTCTATTATCTTAGATAATAAAACCCCCTCCAAAAATAACTCAAATAAACACAAACAAATGCCAACCAAACAAACACGATAATATATCACAAATAAAGAGAATTTGTAATCGAATAAAAACCAGAGGTTTTATTTCAACGACGAGTTGGTGTTTTATTATAATTCTTCAGCCAGAAATATTAGTTGGCCATTTTCAGAGTGGAAATTTATTTTACATGTTACAGCCGTAACAGGTATTATAGCATTGATAATGAATAAAATGTTTATAATGAAAGAAATTAAAGATTGTAAATTTATCTAATTGAACATCCTATCCGACTTCGCTAATTTATACAAAATTCGATATGAGAATCACTGTTTGCATAAGTGGAAATTAAAGAAGAAATAATATTTAATTATAGTCTAGAAATAGTATTTAATTTTTATTACATAAATGTATTTTTAATATACAGATTTAATTAATTAAATAAGTTAAATATAATGAACATAGAAAATAATAAACGTAGAAAATAAAAAAATAAGGAAAATGCAATAAATTAAAAATATAACTGCACCACTAAGAACTTTAAGCTGATCCTAACTGGTAATTAAAGATTCCATTGGCTTTCACACAATTTTGTATTTTCATTGCGCATTTTTATTCTATATAGTTTGCATATTGCTCAGGATGTGATCACTCGAAATGTCTTTCTATATTTGCGGAATGTACACTTAAAATCTTGTTATTACAAATTTGCAGATTACACACAACTTCGCTAACGTTTGATTCATTTGTATTGGACATATCTAAAGGAATATTTTTAGGTCGCATTTTTATAATTATTCACCGAACGTTTGACAAGAATGCCAATGCCTATCACATTTAGGCAATAAAGGAATTGTATTAATAAATAAACATAAAGTCAGACTGCCAGAGTCATTAAAACAAGTGTTTTATTTAACCTAAACCACCAGTACCTTATTCGCAACGCGTAAGTATCGCCTGTATACTTGTTGTGTTATTTAATATTCATATTTATTGAGGTTCGACCTTGTGCAACATATTCATTCGGCTCTAAAGCTACTCTGTAGAACCCTTACAAGTCCATACGCCTGTATCAGAACTTGTATAATCGTAGACGATATCTTGTCTATTTTCAATACATATACAATTACAGACAAGTGAACCCAGTGGTTCTAAGTGATCCCTTGTCACTTTTCAATACATCTACAATTACTTCCAGGGAGAGCCAACCTACAACAACTCCGCCCGTTGACATCTGCACTCAACGGTCTTCACCGAGCGAAATGCACCGAGCGTGGTGCAAATCAGCAACGATATCATAAAGGAAAACCCAGTTATCGTAGTAACATGTTTACATTTTAAGTGCAAATACATAAACACCTTTTTTATAGGCTTAAGCTATAGGCCGGCTTATTCGTAAAATAAATTTATTTTTGAAAGTTCTTCTGTTTGACATTCTTCAATAGTTAATATATCTTATCTATGGGCAAAGGAAAGGATAAAGTTCACATAATCGTGGTTTCATTATTACATCTGTCTTTTAAAATAAATTATTATTTTTTTTTTTCGGAGATATGGCAAGCTTTTCTTTTTTTCAAAAGTTTATGTGGCGTTTCCACGGCTCTTGATTCGCTCTCTATTCGTTGTTTGACCCTTAACTATGAAAAAACTACCTAATTCTTCACACAAAATTTCCTGAGCGAACACTCATATTTGTACGTTGTTCAATTCAAATCACTCTCAGAACAACGAAAAAATATGTCCCATCCCTAACAAATGAGAGCATTTATCGAAAAAATAAATTATGACATTTAAAATTAAAATAGAAAAATTTAATGAAAATTTAAAAATTTTTGGGAAGACTGAAAATTATGTATGAAAACTACAATGTTGAATGGCGTATGTACATTCAAACGAAAGTAACGCTTAACCAACGGCGAAACGCGTCGCATAGTGGTGAGTGTGTGATAGTGTCTATCTGGCTTTCCTTTTCACTGCAAATTTCAGATCATTAAGCTCGTCTCGAAAGAGAAAACAAACACATAAATCATAAAACATATGATCTTCGCCTTAACAAGGCAAAACTCGAAAGTAAATTTTGTTTTCTCTCTCATTCGAAGTACGCATTTGGTCCACGAGATGAAATTTCCACAGAAAACTGCAAACAAAAGAGGCAATATTTTCAAAATGTTTCTATTGGCAGAAAAAATGTTTGACAAGTGTCTCTCCAGTAGAATTTAAAAATGGAAAAACACAAAAATATGTTCAAAATGTCAAGATTTACACAAAAAGTTGAAAACGTGAATGAAAATTATAAAATTATTGATATAATACATATTTGGGAGAAAAACAATCATTTCTTTTATTCATATTAGTGAGAATTTAATGTATTTTAGTATAAATTCCCATTAAATCAAGAAACAAAATTTTTGAAAAAAGGAATTATTTTACTATGAATTACGAATCGTGCCGTATGAACGGGTTAATTCGTGTACCTAATTCTGAGAGCGAACAACGTTGTTCGGTTTCCAATGGAAACATGCTATTACGCTCTATAGTTTAGTTTTGTTCTCGATATCATAAGAAAAAATAGCCTATTGTTGTAAAACCTTTTACAACTTTGCAGTTCTGGAACAGAGCTTTTGCAATTGTTTCGTTCTGTATGCAAAAAATGAAACAAACCCGACATAAATTGCTTTGTTCCAGTACCTGCAAGAATTTAATAGTTTTGCAATTTTTTCCGATATCATAATAGGAAAATCGGTTATCGTAGTAAAAACTGTTACATATGGTCTGTTGCCAAGGTAGATCTAACAGGTAACCGCATCGGCGAATTGCTACAACAAAGCAACTTTTGTGGTCCCCTCAAATGTCAAAATTGACATCTAAGGCGAAAAACATAGATTCGCCATGACATTTAAAGGTTGCGGCAAATTTGTTTCAACCAATCAGAAACGAGGTGTTTGTTTACATTTTATTTTGTGTGCCTCTCGTCGTAAACGAACTTCGCAATAAAAGTTTTTATTGTAAAACAAATAAGAGTAAAATAAGTATTAATTGTAGTATTGCGATATTTTTTAAACCAAGAAACTTATAATGACTATATTTTACTGGTTTAAACCGAAAGTTTTCCGGAACTGCAAATGACAAGAGTCGAATTCTTGCACCACTTCCCGTGATGTGCTTTGGGAATCTTATATGTTGAGGCTAACTTAATTCTTAAAGCTGCACTCCATTCTATACTCCTTCCTTCATTTTCTTTTAATTATTTTTACTGGTTTCACTCTTAACTTGCTCTTAAATTATTTGAAATATTATATTATAAAAATATTTTTAGGGAAGACAACATAAACAAATTTGTTGTTGCATTCATTTAGGGCGAATTCTCCATTACAACAATTTGTTTTGACATTTCATGGTGCCGTCAGCTGGGCTGATGCGATTACCTAGTACATCTACCTTGGTCTGTTGCAGAATTGCAGGAATGTGATAACCGATTTTCCCTCTATGATATCAAAGAAAATTGCAAAACTAGTAGATTCTTGATGTTCTGGTGCTATAATCGCAGAAGCTGGTGAACCCATTGGTAGTTTTGCGATTTTTTCCGATTTCATAAAGGGAAAATCAGTCATCGTAGTAAAAAATTTTGCACTGTTGCAGTTCATGTTTTTCGTCCTAGATGCCAATTTTTACATTTGAGTATATCGTAAAAGTTGCTTTGTTGTAGCAATTCGCCGATGCGGTTACCTGTCTTGGAGCAAATGCTGCATTCAATTCCGAATGCATTAAATGATGTGGAAAATATCGATGTTGTTGATACCGTAATCGATAGTGTGTCAGCAATGATTTGTACGGCATCGGCGTTACTCGGCATAGACAAACGACTTTGTTGTGTCTTTATAGTGAAAATTCTCTTGTATTGAAAAATAGTAAAATATATTTTTTTAGAACACGCATTAAAAGTCATGAAATTCTTTCAATATACTGTATTGAGAAAGGCTTATAAGTGATATGGACCGGAACTTCGTACAAATTTTGATACAACAGTCCATTATGATAGCCATAGGAAACTCCTGGATGATTTTATTCTGAATTTGTACGTCTACGTTTTTTTTTATTTTATATATGTAGATAATTTACGTTGGTACCTACCGTATACGTATATGTGAGACATATATACGAACTTTATATACCTATGTAACCATTGATATACACACGTCGTACATACGTATATATCGGCGAGCGATAACAATAGCATCTTCTTAATGGGCGTGATTTGTATATTCCTGTCTGATTGGAGTATCAAGCGTTTATTTAACCTTTGCAGACTTCACACGTGTTTTAAGGATATTGTTTAACTTGAAGTTTAGAGAAATATCGGAATATTAAGAATTAATTCGGTATGTCTATTTCTACAAAATACTATAGTGGAAGTGTGTTTAGTGGAAGTGCACATATAAACAAATTCGAGTATATATCTGACCACGGCTGTTTACATTATGGTTCTGTTTTTTGATGGCTGCAAGTATTGGCTCTGAACATACAGTGTAGATATAAAACTTATTCCGAGAATATTATTTTATTTATATTAGAATTAAATCGGTATATACAATAAGTAGTTTTTTCTTTGCTGTCCCTGAAACTCGTATTGTAAAATATTAATAATATACTCCTCTTTCTTTCTGTCGTAGATTTCTATTGAATACACAAGGCTAACAATGGACCCTTCAGTTAAAACTAAAGAAAATACCAATTCATCGGTAACCATCCCCGTTATAGCTGGAATTTGCAGTAGCGACAGTTTCTCAATGTTTCCATCACATCATCATGATTTGACAAGTACAAACAGTATTGAATTAAACGCGGCCGCATCATTGAGTGATGATTCTGGTGTTCCACTTACTACGAACAGTTCAATATCCAGCGGCGATTCTTACCGGCTGGGGTTATGCAAGTTCGACATTGAAGTATTAGTTATTTTTCAATTCAGAAACACATTATTTTAACTTATTTCTTTTTTTAAGATCGTGGAAAGTGATGGCGAGGTGTCCCAGTTCGATTCTTTGGACAATTGTTCAGAGGGTGGAATGAGTGCCGAAAATTTTAACACCCTAAAGAAGGGACCTTTAGCTCCAATAGATCCTCCGCCGGAATTTCAGGATTCCCCTCAAACAACACTGGTACGTTCAATGGCGAAGAATCCTGTGACCAGTTTGAGGCGGTGGACATCTTCACAGTCGTCATTTGAACATTTAAAGGACCACAGTAGTGCAGATACAACCAACTTAAACATTGCAGTAATCGCCAATTCCAATATGTGCGTCGAAAATGTCTTTGAAGCTGGGAATTACATGTTGAGTGATGATATTCCAGAGAAAGACATATACAATATCAACAAACATTTATACTCGAGTGATTCCATCTTGAACTCTCATAAGGACAACATATATGATGAACCAAACAACATGCTGAGTTCTTCGTTGGGCAACAGCGTGGATATATTGGATTCAGACTCACAATCTCAGTCAATTCCTCCTCCCCCGCCACCTGTGTCTATTGTTAAAATAAAACAAACATTATGTCCATATTTCCAAGATCACACTCGGTATTTTAAAGCTATACCATCGGAACAGGACAATATTACATCAGCAGTACAGCGATTCAATGTATCCGGTCTTTCTGAAATTCACGATTATGATCTCTACTATGGTATTAAACGTAACGGATATCAGCAGTACGACAACAGTCTACAAAGAAAAATTATATACAGCCCCTTAAGTAATTCTCATTATTGTCATAACCACGTTTATCATGGAGGTAAGAAAAATCATACATGATCCACAAAACAAAAGTAACAAATCTAGAATTATTAATGAATTTATATTTTGTATTTATCTCTACACACATGTGTTATTTTAAAATTTTATATAGTAATTGTTAAATTTTACGGTTTGAAGGAGGGAAAGGTAGCAACAACGCCTATGAGAAGGAACAAATTAAGTTTAGCTCCAGCTGGCCGAAAATTCTGAAAATTTTACAGAAGGTAGGTCTTGTTATCCAAATCACGGAGACATAAACTGTTTTTGGGGGAAAATCAATACTTCCCGAGATATAGGTTCCACAAATATCCCTGTTTTACTTAGCTATTTCTAAACCAATAATCGAAATAAAAACTGCAAAATGTCACTGCAGGTAGGTTTTTGGTTTTTAAAGTTTTTTAAAGTAGCCGGCCTTCAACCGGGGCTTGAGATTTTCTTCGAACCAAAAGATTTTAAAGTATACGGCCTTCGGCCGGAGCTTGAGATTTTCTCCTCTAAGGTATGTCCAACACCGGCTTGGCGAACCAAAGCTTACTTAAATATAACCGAAAAATATAGTTGGGTACTTTTTAAAATTTGGAATATTTCGGACAGTGTGGATCCATCTCCCGAAAATGTTTTGATGTTGCCTTTTTAGAACTTTGGAATCCTATGCCTCGGTAAGTATTGATTAGCACACCCCCCCACACAAAAAAAAAGATATGTCGCTGTGATTAGGATAACAAGACATACCTTAAATAAAAAAAAATCAGAATTTCAGCTAATCTCAGTTTAAGCCAAAGTAAATGTAAATATATTATTAAGGTAAATTTGTTACTGAACAATAAAATATTTAATAAATTGTATTTGTAAAAGATAAAAATGAAAAACAGGTGTAGGATGAGAGATAGATCTTTGCGTGCGTGCACATTATATTTTCGGTTTTTATTTGTAATTAATCGCGTAATTGGTAATCGATGGTCTAATAGTAAAGTAAACTGCATTCTGCATGTTTTCCATCCTAAATACAATGAAAAAGAGGAATAGAAAAATATAGATAGAAATGATGTGTTATTCATGAAGAGATTAGCGTGTAGTCTAAAGAATAACCGCTGGCTCAGTTTCAGCGGTCTTGTTCTCTTTCCAGATACCATCGACCATATTTCCATTTAATTAGTTTTGTTACAATTTTCCAGAGTAATGTTTATTTATCACTCGGAAGAAGTGGCTTCAGAAGAAAATCTCAACGTGACTCCATCCAGATGGGTTCACGCAAATGCCGTAGCCACGTCCTTGATAGTTCGCCAAAAGCTCCTTGCAGTATATTTTAGATAGTTGGCAACTCTCGGAACCATATGGTCAGCGCAAGCCACCACATTAGTTCCGGTTTGTTCTAGATCCTTTAATATGACATTCATCACCACAAACCAAGGCACTACCTTGTGGTGTACCTCTATTAAGCGTATTCCCCGATGCGCGAATTTATGATTCTGCTATCGAGCATAATATCAATCCACTCAGCAAGCAGCAATGGTATATCGTATTTTAAAAGAGAACCGTGAATTACTCAAGTGTAACACTGTTTAAGGCTCTTTCAATGTCGAGAATAGGTGCCAAAGAGAGACAAGAGCAATTAAAGTTTTTCTCGATGAAACCAATTACGTCATGCTGCGCTGTTTCAACATATATACCTTTCATGTAGGCTCGTTGAGAGTGCTTGTTGAGGTCGAAGGAAGTAGGGATCTAATCTCAACCCTTAAAGATCTCCTTCAAAATTGGCATTTTTCCAACGATGCATGTCGGTACTAATGATATCAGGTCTAGGTGATTTGAAAGTTTCTAAAGTGTCAATATCCCACATGATTTTTGGAATACTTACAATTATATCAATCAGGTTCACAACCCCAGTCGTACAGTGCAGTGCATCTGTGCAACTTGGAAAGTGGTAGCTGGCTAACAGATTGAGGGTATCTATACTATTCTTGCTATGTGCTTCCAATGGATTAAGGATCCTTTGAAAGGACTTCGAGGAATATGGAAGCTTCATTGATAAAAAAAATGAATGAAAAAATATTGTTCACGTGAAATTTTTTCTATTTGTCATACTATATTGAAGTGTAAATGTTTTATTGCTTTGAATTCTGAATGAATGATATCGAAATATGATATTAAATGGCGGTTTTTCATGTCTGAAATTGGCATCTAGCTTCCAACTCCAGGGCCTACATCGTACTTCAGCTGGAAGATGCGAACACATTTAAACAATCAAAAATGACCAAAATCATTTCGAAACGTGGACCTACTTTTTTCATATGACAATAATCAATCCAATGAGAACTCAAAATGCAAAATTCATTGCGACTACAATAGTAGATTGAATTGGAAATTTAGTAAGAAAAGATGTATAAATGCTTCATAAAAGTTCAAGATACCTTAGATCGCTTTTGCAGGTCATTATATGGGTCATAACCCTCATATAAGGGTACAACCCGATTTTAAGTATATTTTACATTTTAGCCATATTTTTCATACAATTTCGGCAAATGTTGATAATTTGAGAAGAAACCATCCTTGGAAAAACTGATCACGTTTTGGTATTAAACTATTTTCAGGGTCTTGGCCACCTTTTTTAATTTTTTGCTCTTATTTGTAATCTTTGTATCTATTTGTACCCCCAAGTCCACTTTAATAACTAATGTGTAGTCAGAAAATAAAATTTTTATTCTATTGAATTTGTAATTGAATTGTAATCCTTAAGTTTGAATTAATCATTGAATTTGTATTATGTTAGGGTATTGTAGATAGATAATATAAGTTATGGGCCCTGTGGGCTTATTTATATTTCTTTGTAAGGTAAATAAATGAAATGAAATAATATTAGTTAAGAACGTAGGTTTGGGATGTAACTTACGAATATTAGAAAGTAACACGGTAGAGAATATTTGTTTAATCGTTATTGAATTATACTATGATGAAATATATGGACTTTATGAAGTCTATATTAAATTACAAAAAATGGTACGGTAATGGATGTAAAAGAGTAATTATCTCTGACTATTCTAAAATCATTCTCCCTCAATTATGAGGTGGCAAACCAAATACCACGCGGCAGGGTTCCAAGTTACAGCTCATTTGAATGGAAAATGTTACTAAGCTCTTTACAGTACCAAAAATTGAGCTGAGTTTTCACATGGGGCTATTATCTTTATCATATAGGGTTTTAACAGTCAAGTTAAAGCCTATGTTCACCTATAGTTATTACTTATTATAAGAATTGTGACTTATATAGTTTACTCATATTAAGAGCTACATTTGAGGACCTGAATCGCCAAATTATAACTTAAAATGCAAATTTTGAGATGACTATCTTATGGGGATGGATATAAAAAATGCCAAAAATACAATACAGCTTGAGAATAATATTATAAAAATAACAATTTTTCAACAATGCTTAAGAAATATTTAAGGTGCACGAACGTTTCTCAAATCAGTCCTTTGTTGACAAATTTGTTTTGATATTTTGAGAAAATTGACACCTAAAAATTATTTTCTTTGGTAAAAAGCAAAATCGTGCGAATTTAAGACCCATTTTCCGACCTAATTCTGGGAATGTGTGGCATATTTAATTTCGATCTCATTTCAGACAGGGGACATCAAAAAAGTTGCGAGTATTAAATAGATGTTTAATATTAGAATAAGGGAGAGGACAGTGACTAGGTACCAAGGCCACAGGAGGCAGTTACAGCTAGGATGGTCATCAATGAATGAAGTGTTAAAATTATTATAAAATTAAAAAAATATTTTATACTATTACAAAAATAAGCTTAATATAATATTACATTTGTAAGCTAATTCCACAATTTCCAGTATAAGCTTATAAATAAGGGTTCAATTTCGATTATTCTATATTTTTTACACAAACATTTTTCAATGTTTTGTAAAGATTTTCTCAAGTTTAAGGCTTATGTTTACATGCTCATTGTAATATTATTCTCAAGCCATTTTGGTATGTTGGGATATTTTGGGTTTTTGTAGTATATGTTTTTTTTTCTGTCAGTGGTAAGCCCAAGAAAGCTTTTCGCCCGTCTTTTTTTTGGTTTTTGCAACAAAAAAATACAAACGAAAATGTCAGAAAAAAACAATGGGAGGCGGCCCTTAGTTTTGAACAGAAATTGGCTGTTTGTTACAAAATCACGCCAAAATTGTATGGGTAGGATGGGGCATTTATATATGAACTGTTTTTACATATCAACTTTTAGTTGGCGCATCTCGCAGGACTATATTCTTCAAATGTTATCTTGACATTTTTAAATTTTATTTTAATTTTTTTTTTTTGATAAATTTTGAATTTATTTTGGTTAAAAAAAATTAAAAAAGTAATGGTTATGGAAACACTGAAATATCAAGGCTTTTCGGGAATGGATGAGAGCTTTCAAAATATTTACAAAAACCCAAATTAAAACGAATACGTTTGAACATGAAAGTTTCGAGTGAAGGCAACTTTTTTTTACAAAAACAGGCTGTAAAAAGAGACAACATTTAAACCAACGATTACTGAAGTATTGAACGTATTGAGTTTTATGAGAGCTGTATGAAATTTCGTCAAGCTCTTTCGCGAAAAATAAAATTTGCCAAAGATGTTCCTTCCACCCGAAACAACAACATATCTGTTTCCACCGCAGTCACCCGGACAGCAACCTATACCGCGCAATATTATGTCAAATGTTGCTGTTCCAACTCCGGATTGTCCATTGTTCTTACAATTTGCAACGGACCCAAAAGCAAAATAGATGAGATAATAAGATTTATAATTCAGATTAATATTTTGATCTAAACGGTGCTGAAAGTGAGAAAAGATAACATTTTGGTTTGATTCGTTTATTTATTTATTTTTTTAATAATTTTTAAATATGTTTCCTAAGTTCTACGAAAACGAATCTAACTTAACCTAACCACAGTCACACAACTGTTCATATCCATTATTAGATTCAAAAGAGAACATTATATGACTTCACGCAC